TTCATGTCGCTGTATCAAAAACTACTGGATCGTGTTGGAAGTCAGAAGCATTTGCTTAGGTTCTGGGATGAATTATCGGAAGAGCAGAAACATCTATTAGCAGAGCAGGTAAGCAAATCAAACATCCGTGCTAATCATGTAATGATTACTGTAAATGTAGGTTATTTAAATTGATCAAAGAAAACTGATGAATGGGAGCTTTGCAGAAACTCCATTGAACTAAGAAGACTAGAGCCAAATATCCCTAGCTTAAATTGAATTGATTGAAATTGCAACAAAATTTTGATGTAAAATGATGCACACTGTATTTCAGATCGAGTCGATTGACTTCAATGCTGTAAAGGAGGCATTTGAAACATCTTCGAATATATATACAGCGTCTCCTGAGAATCTTTCACCCGTTGCTATGGATCATCACATTGTGTTTAGAAATCTAACAAATGCGGAGAGGCAGCGCTATTGGCGCAAAGGTATGAAACTGTTTTCTGACGTAATTTCAAAAAAAATTGAAGAATTGATCTAGGGCTCGAAGCAATTTCTCATGGTGAAATGGCCGCCATCGTTCTTGCAGGAGGGCAAGCTAGTCGTCTTGGATCAACTGCTCCAAAAGGTGTCTTATGACTTTTATCAGCATGGCTTTTATGTGTGTGCCGTTTACCCATAAAAACTCTCAAATTTCTAGGAACCATACCTCTTGGCCTCAACGTTGCTCCTTGTGATTCGCTGCTTGGCATCCAAGCAGTGAAGATTGCTCTTCTTGAGAGATTGGCTGCAAAAGAATTCCCTCAGCAGAAAGAGAAAGGCAAAATTCAATGGTAAGTACAAGAAACCAAAGAAAGCTGCGACTAGCAGAAATGAGCGATCACATTGAAATAAAAAATGAAAGAATTCTTTTTTCCTAGCTGTGGTGAATTCAGGCTCGTAATGGCTTCGAAGACAACTGAAGCAGCTACCCGTGCTCACTTAGAGAAGGTGGTTCAAGCAAGCGGCTTGTCTGCCGACCAGATTACGATATTCCGCCAAGCTGAGATTCCAGCATTCGACAACGAAGGCAATCTGCTGCTGTCTAGCAAAGGCTCAATCGTAACGGCCCCAAGTAAGCTCGATATGCTGCTTACTTTCAAGAATTCGACTCCTGTCCATACCTCATTGAGTT